GCCCCCCCCCGCGTGCTATCCCTCTCTCTGTGCCGCTGCTGACTGAGTGGCTTTGTGAGATACATAGGAACAACTACAACTCAACGATCTGCCCTGATTGCAGTGCTAAAAGTGATATTGCCGTTATACCTTTGAACTTCGGGCCTAGTGCCCTTGTAGACCGTCGCGCGAGTATGGTTAAGAAGCCTCGATAACCAATTCTCTCTTGGGGTTCAATCGTCAGGTGCTCTCCTGCGGTTGGGCTATGACCGGTTGACAACGGCTGACAAGCCGAAACTGGCATCCCCAGCTTCGTTTGTCTGCGTCGGTAACACTTATCAACTCCTGTCAAGCTGCGCTCCTCCCAAAATTGACAGCTTCGTCAGCACATCAAGCATCAGTCTTGCAGTTATCTCGGTCTAAAAATTCTTATTTTGAAAAGTCAAGTTGGCAAACACGTGTTTTCGGTAATTCTTCGTCAGACCAATACAGTTACATGAAGGAATCACAATGTACAAAATTAGCTATTAAGTAATTGGTGGGTTTTGGTCCTTAGAGCTAGAGGAGGGGGGTAAGAGAATCTTTGAGTGATGTTCTTGAATTGAGTACACAGAGTACCAATCACTGTAATTAGGGATTTGAGGCGGCATGTCATCATCACTTCGGGTTGGCGTTGGCCACGGCAGAGAGAGAGCGCTTGTGGTAGGGTTTTCTGACAGCATAACACCGGATTCGCTAGCCGTATAGCAACTGCCTCGGCCGTTGCTAGTATCCCTTGGCGAAGGCCTTTAGAGAAGCTTGTTGGTGTCCGACAGACAACCTGAAAGGTTTCCTTAGCATCGACTCGGTGATCCGTATCAATTAAATGTGCGGGAATAGAACTCGAAATCGATCGGGTCTCGCCTCTGTCTAGCCAGGCGAGTATATGTTCACGCACCCTCTTTACCAGGCGTCTCGTTGTACGGCCGATGTATTCCGCTCCACAGGAACAAGTGAATGAGTAAGTTTAAAAACCCACTGGTGGTAGGCGCGTGCTCCTAAAGTTCGGATTCGAACCCATGTGTTGGAAGCGACTAGCGGACAGAGCTACTTCGCCTCATTTCGATGTCAGGCCCAGAGAGGACTCCACAAATCAAAAAGGTGCCAGTACTGAAAGCTTGTATTAAAGGAGACTGGCATCGTCGATAAAGGCAAGGCCAAAGTCCTTCGTTAGTGTACGTGGCACAGGCAGACGGCAGCTTTCACGCCATGTCAGACATTTCGTATATGGTGCGTGGGAGGGAGGGGGAGGGAGAATACGGCCGATCTCCTAGTACATTTAAATGGGTATATTTCACATTCCTTTTGAAGAAACAAGAATTCCATAGGAGGGCAGACCGGCGTGCGGAAAGACAACACGTGAATCAACAAACTGCGAACCAAAGGTTGAGTGACAGAAGGCGCCATTGAGAGTTGAAGCTAGTACATAATTTTGTTACTGATGCTTAAAGGGGATTCAGTAGGAGGGGGCCAGGAAAGATTAGGACGTAGGTCTCACTAAGAAGTCGAAAGGCACTATTTGATTTGTGGAAGAGGAAGGTCTCGTCGTCTCGCAGTGCTTGGTCTACTAACCATTTTCACAGCATTCAGTACACCAAGTCGAACAGAAATTCAAATGTTAATGGAACTTGACAGATCAGCTGCGAACGCGAAGGACACGATCGCTAATCCCAAACTGATAGTCCAACACATGCCACGCGTGTCGCGTTGAACCGAGTTCCTTCCATTCAGATAAACAAACAGTAAGTTCAAGAATGGTGAGCAGGTAGGTAAATTCAAGATAATCTGGCACCTTGTCACAGTACCTCCCTCCGAGACTGGACGGTGGTGGGAACGACGCCGAAGGATGTATACAAGTCTAAACGAAATAAGCGACCAACCGATCAGAAAGTGAACGTGCCGAATTCTTCGATTGATATATGTACAGGGTGCGCAGATGAGTGAAGGCGTCCTGTGGCGGAAGTGTTGGGGTAAGAGGTGGCAGTTGGAGATAGTGGACAGGGGGGAGGAGTGAAAATACGGGACAGCGAATGTGGGGGAGCAAAGGGTAGGGGACCACAGCGTTCATCCGGAAGAGTGTCCAGAACGGCAGCTTTGAGGCGGTCCACACTCACGACCTCCTTACGAATGGCGCGTTGAATTCAGAACATCCTCCTCGCTCAAGAGAGGACCCGGAATGGGTCATCATAGGACGGTTCCAGAGACCGGCGGACTCGATCACGTAAAAGGCAGACGTTAGAGCATGTTGCGTAGTCCTTCTCGAGATAAGACGGAGAGGTGGAGGATCTGGGCGGACCGGAGAGAGTGTCCGCATAAACTTCCGGGGGTGGTGCAGGAAGTTGGTGAGATCCCCGACCGCGCCACGAGGATTTAGAGAGATCATCTCACCAGGAAGTCGGACTGTGGCACCAAAGGCCAGCCCAGCTGCGGTACAGTCAAGGTCCGACTTGAGGGCGGAGCGGATGCCCAAGAGGACCAGGGGAAGATGGCTGTCCATTTCTCCGGATCATACTCGGTGCGTAGGAGGTTTTCGACTGATGGTAAAACCGTTGGCAGCCGGTTGATAGGCTGCAGTCCGGATGCGGGTACAGCCTAAAAGGAGAGGAGAGACAGGGAAAGGCAGAATGGTATTACCGACGAAGACATTGTGCCTATATAATGCGCCGCTGTGCGGCTGCTGGTTGGGCTCGAGAAAGAGCCTGTAAGGCATAACAGAGCGAGTGAATTCCGTAAGAAGACTGGAAGAGGTTAGATTCAAATTTGGCACCACGGTCAGTCGTGATAGTGGAGGGTGCACCAGAGATGGCAACCCAACGACTGATAAAAGCCTTGACCACCGTTGAAGTAGCAGTGTCAGGCAGGGGAATGGCTTCAGGCATGTGCATGTTAGCAGAAGTCTGGGAGAAACAAAAAACGCCACCGGGAGAAGTAGCGGCATCGTTAGGATCCGTAGAGGGCATGCTTGTAGACAGAATCAAGGAGAACGGACTGTATGCAAGCAGCAAATCTAAGTCAACAAATTCAAGGCGTAAGCGTGGACCTCGAAAGAGTCAACACTGTTGTGAACACGAAGGAGACGATTGCGAATCCCAGACTGATAGCCCAACACATGCTACGCGCGTAGCGTTCAGGCGAATTGCTTCCATTCAGATGAACAAACAATAAGCTAAAGAATGATGGACAGGAAGGCAAACGCAAGATAGTTTGGCGCCTCGGTACAGATCCAACACGATGAAATGGGGACAGAATTGACCACCTAAATGCCAGCTAGCCATTTGAATGTATGTTCGATTGTGTGCATTCGAAAATCGTGCGTCGACCAATCTCTCGAACGTCAGTAGCATAGTAGAGCTTTTTGGCGAGCCGTCTATTCCTTACAAATGACCATACCCGAGCCCTCACCTTCGTCAACCTGTGATATTTAACTTGTGACAATTTCAGGACATAAAACTACTTATAAATGAAACCTGATGGGCGGTCGCAATGAATGTTTTAGAAGGGGGTGGGATGGGGGCGGTTAGAGATACTAGCCAGTCTAGGAAGAGAAACCAGTTAACAATTGCTCGGGTAGTTATACACCAAATAGCGGTCATTTTAGCGACTGGAAATGAGATACCCCTACTGCGCGGTAACCTCGAGCCATCGAGTTGCCGCATTCACGCAGGGTGCACGGCCACGTTACTAGGGTCATCCGTAACGGGAGGGTGAAGGACTCCACTTAAATGTCGGTAGACCGTGGATCGTGTCATAGGAAGTTTTATCTTGGTATCCGTTTGTAGGCTGTTGAAGACATTACGCTGCCCACAACAATTACTTCACATTACCTCAAACCGTTGCCCAAACGTATTTATTTCTTAGAAATTCGCATTATGTTTATTCGTTTTAATGAACGCGCTAATTTTCGTTGCCATCTGAAGGCCTAAGATAAGACTGTCGGCATAAATCCAAAACAAACTTATGATTTCTTGCATTTCCTCAGCTTAGTATCTGGCCCGCTGCCCCACCCGTAAAATCCCATCACGACTATGCCCGTTTGACACGATTTGCAATCTACCGACAATGGAGTGGGGCCTTTCACTTGATCATTGCCCTCCCCGCCGCCGCCGCCGTCGCCGCCTCTCCTCCTCCTCCTCCTCCTCA